TGGAGAAGGTAAAAGTATAGAAACAGTTAAAATAGTTAGTGGTTACCAGGAGTTTTGGGGTGAGGGAGAGGAATGGATAAGTAAAGATCAGAAAATTTGGGGAATAGTAAAATTATTTTGTATAAATGTGTGATGGTGAATATAAGATATTATGCATTTGTCAAAGCCATGGAAATTTACAAAATTAAAAAACTAAACCTTAACATGTGTACAATTTTTTTTAAAAATTAGGTGGCCAGGGGCTTCCTTAGAAAAAGCAAAGTGACAGGATAACTGTATGAAAAATATATAAAACAATCTCACTTTAGGAAACGGGGAAGAAAACGTGCTAACCTAAGTAACTTTGAAAATGGATGGGGTGTATAAGACTACAGACAAAAAGAACTGTAAGTTATGACCATACTCTAGTTGATAAAAATGTTTTCCATGAGTATATTAGTTAACAACTCTGCAATACATTTATGCTGGAGTGAAACTATTATATAAACAGCAGATAGTGGGAGCCAGTTTTCCCACAATTAGAGTGAAAGTTCACAAAGAAGCCAAGGGATGAATCAAGAATGATCTGTGTGGTAATGGATGAGAGTTGGAAACATCAGTGTGAACTAATGTTTGTCTTAATATGGTTACAGATGGTTTCATACAGAAATATGTATAGATATGTGTATATAAATGGTTACCATACACATATACTTTTCTCTCTGTCAGCTGAGAAGGCCTAAAAAATGATATCCTAGTAGTATCAATAAACATACATAGTGCCCAGCTCATGATCTCTTAATACCAACCTTCAATGCAAGGTACTAGGACTCACTGGAGAGGTGACTGATTCTAGGAATGAGACAGGAAATATATAAGATAAGCCTGGAGTATTGTAGTGCCAGAAATTAAGGAAATTTATAACACACACACACACACACACACACACACACACACACGTGGACATGTCAAAAGAAAAAAGAATCCAGCCAAGAGAGGTTCTGATGTTCAAACTTACAGCAATTAAAAAAAATAAAATAAACAGAGTAGTATTGGATTTGTGGATTGCACAAATTGCCTAGTGCAGAATATTTTCAGTTTTTTGTTGTTGTTGTTGTTGGTTTAATACAGACTTTGATTCATCTGTTCTCAGGGCAGTTTCAAACATTTGTATTTTTAAAAGTTTTCAGAATGGATATTTCAAAATGATGGCAGAGTGAATAGAAGCTACACAGACCATCTCCCAGGATCAAACTAAAATTACAACTAAAAGACGAATTGTTGATAAAAAGCAACAGAAAACAGCTGGAGAGAACCCATATAACCAGGGACAGAAAAAAAGGACACTGAATTGAGCCTGGTAGGATCTGTGGAGGCGCAAGAGTGTGGGCTGGGAGCCCACGGACAGCAGCTGTTTTATCTGTGACCAGCTCCCTCATCGTTGGTTAAAATCCATCCCAAGCTGGCTACACAGCACAGAGGGCTGGGTCAGAGCACTAAATTAGCTACATCAACTCACCTTGGACACCAGCAGAGGGAGGGAAGACTGGATTGGAACTGTGTGGACACTCGGGAACTTGGAGAGCTGGGAGGGCATTGGGAGTTTTGTGCTGAATCATTTTCTCACAGGCAGTAGCCATCTTACTCAAAGAACCCTGGGGAGAAGCAACAGCTCCTCCCTCAAAAATTTAACACCACCCAGCTGGGCAAGAGAAATGCAAATTGAGGCTCATTAACAGCCAGTACCTGCCCCACCCTCTGGAAATCCTCTTACCCTGAACAACTGAGGGTTTTTTTCATTCAGCTGAGGGCTATAACCCAACACTTATCAAATAACTGAGACTAATAACCTCCAGGCAAAAAGCTAGAGGAAAACTGAACTTTTCCTGGGCTTGCAAATCTACCAAGGGAAGTAAGACTTGACAGTGGTGTTTAACATTGGGTCCTCCCACACTCATCCAAAACCAGTTGAGGGAGCCACAAACAGTGGAAGACCAACACTCACAGGAAAAATTTGGCAGCCTCCAAAACCCACTGAGAGAGCCAAAATGGTGAAACAAAGAAACAAATCCTAAATGAAAGAACAAGAGAACTCTACTGAAGATGAGATAAATGAAATGCAGTTAAGCAAGTTATCAGAGGTAGAGTTCAGACTGATGATAATGAGGAAGCTCAACAGCATGAGTAAAGAGCTCACCACTATGAGTAAAGATATAGAAACACAGAAAACTAACCAAGTAGAAATGAAGAATGACATAGCAAAAATAAAGAAAATACTGGAAGCAATAACCAGCAGAGTAGAGGAAGCTAAGGACTGGATCAGTTAATTAGAAGACAAGGTAGAAAAAATCACCCAATCAGAAAACCAAAAAGAAAAAAAACAATTAAAAAACAGGAAGGCAGCCCAAGAAAAGTGTGGGCCAACTGGAAAAGTAACAACATTTGAATCATAGGAGTCCCAGAAGAAGAATAAAACGAGCAAGGGTTGGAGAATATATTTGAAAAACTAATGACAGAAAACTTCCCTAACTTGGTAAAGGAAAAAGGCATTCAGTTCAAAAAGCACAGAGAGCCCCAAGTAAGAAGAACCCAAACAGGCCCACACCAGGACACATAGTAATCAAAATGCCAAAAATTAAAGACAAAGAGAGAATCCTAAAAGCTGCAAGAGATAAGCAACAGGTTACCTACAAAGGAACCCCCCATAAGGCTCTCAGCTGACTTCTCAACAGAAACACTACAGGCCAGAAGGGAATGGCATGAGGTAATCAAGGTAATGAAAAACAAGGATCTGAATCCAAGACTACTCCATCTGGCAAAGCTATCATTCAAAATAAAAGATGAAAGAAAGAGCTTTCCAGGCAAAAATAGGCTAAGGGAATATATTAGCACCAAACCAGCTCTGCAAAAAATGTTAAAATACCTGCTGTAATTAGCAGAAGAAATAGGAAGAAATATATAAAAATGGCAATAAATAAGTACATATCAATAATAACTTTAAATATAAATGGTTTGAAGCTTCCAATCAAAAAACACAGAATAGTAGATTGGATAAGAAAGCATGACTCATATATATGTTGTTTACAAGAGACCCACCTCACAACAAAAGACTCACATAGGTTGAAAGTGAAGGAATGGAAAAAAAGTCTTCCAAGCAAATGTAAAGGGAAAAAAAAAAAAGCCGGGGTAGTAATACTCATATCTGATAAAATAGATTTCAATATGAAGTCCATAACTAGAGACAAAGAATGCCACTACATAATATTGAGAGGATCTATCCAACAGGAAGATATAACTGTAATCAAAACAGCCTGGTACTGGCACAAGAACAGGCATATAGATTAATGGAAAAGAACAGAGAACCAGGAAATTGTCCCAAGACATTATGCTTAATTAATATTTGACAAAGGTGGCAAGAGCATACAAATGAGGAGAGACAGCCTCTTTAATAAATGTTGTTGGGAAAATTGGACAGCTACATGCAAAAAAATAAAGCTAGATGTCATACAGAAGAATAAACTCAAAATGGATAAAAGACTTAAATGTGACTCATGAATCCATAAAAACCCTAGAAGAAAATGTAGGCAACAAAATTTCAGACATCATATGCAGCAGAATTTTCACTGATACATTATCTAAGGCAACAGAAACAAAGGAGAAAATGAACACATGGGACTACATCAAACTCAAAGCTTCTGCACAGCAAAAAAACAACCATCAAAATGGAAAAGGAACCCACTGTATGGGAGTCCATAATCGCCAATGATACATCAGATATGGGGTTCATTTCTAAAATATATAGAGTGCTCATACAACTCAACAAAAGGAAGACAAAGAACCCAATTAGAAAAAGGCAGAGAACCTAAATAGACACCTCTCCAAACAGGACATCCAAATGGCCAAGAAACATATGAAAGAATGCTCAACATCATAAATCATCAGAGAGATGCAAATTAAAACATCTATGAGGTATCATCTCACACCAGCCAGAAGGGCTGCCATCAACAAATCATCAAACAACAAGTGGTTTTGGAGGTGTGGAGAAAAGGGGACTCTAGTACACTGCTGGTGGGAATGCAGACTGGTGCAGCCACTATGGAAAACAGAACGGTATTTCCTCAAAAAATTAAAAATTGAACTGCCATTTGACCCAGTGATCCCACTTCTAGGAATATATCCTAAGAAGTCTGCAACACCAATCAGAAAGAATATATGTACCCCCATGTTCATAGCAGCACTATTTACAATTACTAAGATCTGGAATCAGCCCAAGTGTCCATCAGTAGATGAGTGGATAAAAAAGCTGTGCTACTTGTATACAATGGAACACTTTGCAGCTGTAAGAAAGATCTCTTATCCCTTGAGACGACATGGAGGGACCTGAAAAGCTTTAATGTAAATAAAATAAGCCAATTAGAGAAAGACAAATACCGCATGATCTCAGTACTTATTTGTGGAATATAATGAACAAAGTAAGCTGATGAACAAAGTAGACCCACAGACATAGAAAGGAGTAGCTTCAGACTGACAGACCTCAGAGGAGGGGGGTGGGAGGGGTGGATGAGATAAATCAAAGAACTTATATGCATGTATGCATAACCAATGGACATAGACAACATTGTTGGGGGGAGCAGGATGGGAAGAAGGGTGTCTAGGGGAAAAAAGGAGAAATATCTGTAACAAAAATAAATTAATAAAAATTGAGAAAAAAAAGTTTTCAAGATGATTACAATTAGAAATGAAGTTCAAGAATCTTTGAGTTTACAATGTTGCTTTATAGTGAGTGTTAGTGTTTGTGGAGAGAGACTTTGCCAGAGCCTATAGATCCCTAGCACTTAGAGAAGTTCATTGTAATGCCTGAAAATGGGAGGGAAAAAATCAATTTCAAACTGAAAATTCAGTGTGTCTAAAAAACTTGGGCTTATTGTTCTTTCCTTCCGTTTTGTTTTTGTCATCTTGGGTTGCTATAAGAAATTATAGACCGGTTGCTATAAGGAATTCAAAGGTTGGAAACAACAAACCTTTATATCTCACAATTCTGGAGGGTGAGAACTCAACTTCAAGGTGCCAGCAGATTTGATGTCTGGTGAGATCCTTCTTCCTGATTTGTAGATGGCCACCATCTCACTGTGTCTTTATATGGCAGAGAAAAAGAGAGATTGATCTTGTGTATCCTCCTCTTTTTATAAGGACATTTATTAATCCCATCATGAGAGCCCATACTCATTACTTTACCTAATCCTAATTACCTCCCAAAAGCTCTACCTCTAAATACCATCACACTGGGGATTAGGGTTTCAACATATGACTTTGGGCAGGGGCACATTCGGCCCAAGCAGTTATATATGGGGAATTTCTATTTTCCCAATAGATTTGAGCTGTACACACTTTTGGTGTATTGGGCATTAATATTTTAATTCACATTCATAAAGTTCTGCAGTTCTAGTTCTAATTTGTGGAGGGGAATTAGTGTTGAGAGTGTTAATACAAATAATCCAGGCTAATAAGACACATTAAAGCAAAGATATCAATGTATGCCAGAAACAAAGGCTGTTCTTTTGCTCTTAGTCATAGATTTGTTGTTGTTTTTAATCCTCACCTGAGGATATTTTTCTATTTATTTTTAGATACAATGGAAGGGAGAGAAAGAGAAACATCGACATGAGAGAGACACATCAATTTGTTGCCTCCCACACGACCCCAACCAAGGCTGGGGATCGAACCTGCAACTCTATGGTCCATGGGCTGAGGCTTCAATGGCTGAGCCCTACCAGCCAGGACTAAATTTTTTTAAAGGAAGAGTATAGCATGGCAAGTGCCTTATCGTTTTCTTTAATCTTCACTCAGAAGATTTAATTTAAAAATGTCACAGCATAAACTGTTGATATAAGACTCTGAAAATGAAATAAATTTGAGGAAGGAGGTTGAACAGAGAAAAAAAAAGAAAAAAACTAAAATTTTAATATGACATAAAATGTGACTAACTACAGGATAGAAAATATTCATAATAGTTCGTGAGCAGCTTTTGAAAATTCAGTGTTTTTCTGGATACAGTTGAAAGATAAACGTAAATTGTAACTGACACCCACGGGGAAAAATAAGAAGGAAAGTTTCATCTCTTTATCACCACCCTTTACCTTGTTCCCAAGGTGGAAAATGATGACCTGGTTGAATAAAATACAGAAACACACACTGAAGCATGTTCCAGGTAATGTTAAGGCGTAGTCCCAGTAAGTGAATTTCTCAGTAACACTGAAATCTCTAATATATATAAGCTTGGCCAATGTAGACCTCCTATAAGATGTTAAAAATTGATAATTTTTTTTTTTTTTTACTCTATTATGAGCATCGTTCTTTTGTTTAAACACCCCATGTCCCATTTTTTCTTGCCAAATCCTGGCATTAGATATTGGGCCAAAGGCATTCTTTTTGAACCTGGATCTCTTGCTCTTTTTTTCTTTTCTTTCATTGGAAGATGAGATTCAGTTAACATTTCCATTCATCACAGTGGTGAGCTCTGAAACTCAGATTTGGTTCTGCATTGATTCATCTCCATTCCTACCGACATGATTTGGGTACAACGAGCTTTCCACATGGTCCATACAAACTTACTAGAGTTTAACATTTAGTTTTTAGATCAAAACCTTAGCAATCAATAAAGTGTTCTTTTGTCCTATTTTGCCTTTTCATGCATTAATCTCAATCAGAAACCTCACAGGAAGAAATGGTGTCAGGGCTTAGCTAGGATTTGCTATTCTTATGTTTGCTGGCTAAATATCATGTAAATATCACTCAATTTCAATAGGCAGGATCATGAATGACAGTGACTGACATAAATGGCCTAGCTGTCTATCCAATATCCTGAATGTATGCTCCTGGGATCATGGTGATATGAAGGTAAAACAAAAATTTTAATGAGGAAACCTTGAATGTGAAGGTACATGGCATTGTCTCAGTTTGCAGAAATGACCCTAAACCAATTCTTTTATTATAATAAGAGTAAATTTCCAGTATTAAAGATTCATTTGATACTCATTCAAGAAAGTCACACTTTGCATTTGCTTTAGAAAAATGGCTTATTGTCCTACCAACCCCAAGTAATATTTGATTCTATATTATTAATGATAATGCCAGAAAAAATGAAAGAAATGTAATAGACTGCATTTATCTAACCTACTTATTATCTTAATTTTACAATTTATGGTTTTTAAATAATGACTTTTAATCCCAGATTTTTTAAGTGAGTCACCAATGGCATTGCCAACCAACTGGAAATATAAAGCAGTCTTTTAGAGTCTTGGTCTTGGCAACTTACCTCTAAATTCAACTACTTTTATTGCAGTTCCAACAGTTTAACACTAAAATGAAAAATATAAGCTCTTTAAAAATATTTTTTTCTTTGTTGATTTTTAGAGAGAGAGGAAGGGAGAGGGACAGAGAGAAAGAAACATCGATGAGAGAAGACATGGACTGGCCGCCTCTTGCACGCGCCCACTGAGAATCAGGCCCACAACCTGGCCATGTGCCCTGACCCGGAATCAAACCTGCGACCTCTGGGTGCATGGATTGACACTCAACCACTGAGCCAGACCAGCCGAGTGGAAAATATATAAGGTCTTTAAAGAAGAATCCTAACTATTAAAGGTACTATAAGAAATATACCAGTGCAGAGGGAGATCGTTTACCTTAGTGAGGCCTTGGCCACTGCTCTCGTTCCCCAGTGGTAGAAGGATGAATTCTGGGAGAATCTCAAATCCCTGAAGAAGAACATGGATGACCTAGACCGGGCTAGCAAAGCCGATGCCCAGAAGCGACTCATTGGCAGCAACCCCAACCATCCTGGAGCTAGAGAGCGGCACATCAGCCAAGGCCCCGAATGAAGCCTTGAAGTTCTTCAAGATGCATTCCCCACAGACGTCAGCCATGCTCTTCACAGTGGATAATGAGGCTGGCAAGGTCACGTGCTTGTCCTGCCGGTGTGGCTCAGTGGTTGAGCTTGGACCCATGCACCAAGAGGTCACCAGTTCCCAGTCAGGGCACATGCCCAGGTTATGGGCCAAATCTGCAGTGGGCGTCATGCAGGAGGTGGCCAATCAATGTTCTCTCTCATCAATGTTTCTATCTCCCTTCCTTTCTCTCTAAAATCAGTAAAGGGAAAAAATTAATTTATAGTTAAAAAAAAAGTTATGTGCTTGTGTCAAGTCCCCCAGAATGCAGCCAACCAGGGCCTGAAAGCCAGTGAGTGGGTGCAGCAGGTATCAGGCCTCAAGGATGGCAAAGGTGGTGGCAAAGATGTGTCTGCTTGGGCCACAGGCAATAATGTGGGCTGCCTGCAGGAGGAACTGCAGCCGGCCACTTCCGTTGCTCAGCTTCCACTGGGAGATGTGAAGAATTGAGGGGAGGGGCTGCTTCCACTGGGAAGCATCTCCCCCACCCCACGATGTATCTGTCCAGCCAGGAGCTCTCTATCTGCCACACAGATATTTGAATCTTGGGACCTCTAAATAGCGCCATCTCTCCTTCTAACACAGCAGTAGCTGGAAGTCACTTGGGTGCCAGCCTGTGACTCAATGCTCACGTACATTTCTACCCGGAGCCCTGCACCACGGCACAATCTGTGTAGAATCACTATCCCAGGATTGCTATTTGTCCTCTTCCTCACGTCTATAGATAGTTCTCTGCAGACCGGAGGCTCTGGGTCTGCAGGAAGGAATCATTTTTGCTGCAGAGAATAAAGGACCACGAGCAAGCAAGCAAGCGAGCAAGCAAGCAAGAGAAAGAGAGAGAGAGAGAGAGAGAGAGAAAGGGAGAAATATACCAGAACTAGCCCAGCTGGTGTGGCTCAGTGGATTGATTGTCATCTCATGCACCGAGAGGTCACCCGTTCAACTCCCAGTCAGAGTACATTCCCAGGTTGCAGGCTCGATCCCCAGTAGGGAGCATGAAGGAGGCAGCTGACTTATGTTTCTAGCAATCTCTCCCTCTCCCTTCCTCTCTCTAAAAAATCAATAAAAATATATTAAAAAAAAAGAACCAATAGGAAATCTTCCTGTTAACCCTAAGCGTAAGGACGAATGTTCTGACAACTATCAACAGAGTATTTAAGAGGAAGGAATATTCTTTCTTCAGCTCAACAGACCTATGAATATCACTTTAAAAACATTTTATTCTTTTTTTAAATTTTTTTTTTCTTTATTGATTTGAGAGAGCAAGGAAATGAGAGGGAGAGAGAGATAGAAACATCGATGAGAGAGAACATCAACTGGCTGCCTACTGCATGCCCCCCACTGGGATTGTGCCCACAACCTGGGCATGCGTCCTGACCAGGAATTGAACAGGCAACCTCCTGGTGCACGGGTCGATGCTCAACCACTGAGCCACACCTGCCCGACAAGGCATTTTATTCTTTTAAGTTTATTGAAAATTAATATGCACAGGAATGAAAGAAGCAACTCGCTTTCTAAGACTTGGTGAGAAAAACAATAGCTCTCCCATCCTCCCTCCCATTTAATCTTCCCAGAGACATTTTTACACTATTAGCTAGTATTTTAATGATCTATTCCCATTTCTCAAACAAAAAGTGTGTATTGGTGCTTTTGATTGACCCTGGAATATGTAGGTCAAGTCCAGTTATGACTGTTTCTGTCTCACTTTTACCCATGCCTTAAAAATATTTTCCCTTATGTCAAGTAATAGGTACACAAAAAGTTTTTGCACAGCAGAATCTGAACTCTCTTGGTATTTTCAGTAAAGGAATCTGACAAAGTGGATGTATTTCCCCTCAGCAAACAGGCCTTTTGCATCATGCAGCATGCTGCTACTTCTGTTCTTGCAATATTTATTGTCCACAGTGTATACCTAGAATTAAGTTTTATTTACTTCTGATGAGCAGACAAGGGCTCGTATTTGACACCCACTCAGGAGACACTATTGTAACCAAGACTGACATTGTTTAGTATATAGCCTCTGGTTAACTGAAAGTAGATACAATTAGTCTCTCTTTTCCCCCTTAAATCTATATTTTATTTGATTCCTTCCTTATGTGAAGCCCAATGTAATTTTATATTTCACTAAAGTAGCAATACTCCCAAATGTTTTGGTCAACTCTATTGATTTACTAAGAGTAATTTTGAATGGAAGCCTAGCTGATTGAAGGAACACTAAATCTTAAGATCACTATACAAATGCATTAAAAATATAGAAGGTTTATAGAATTTGTTCTTTGGAACTGCTAGGAATCAGAGACTGAAATTGGTTTCCTTAGACTCCACCTGTAGTTTAATCTTTGAGGCCTGACTGTTTAATTTCCTGACAGAGAGAGATTTAAAATATGATGTTCAAAAATAAAACAACAAAAAGGGACGCGGAAGTTCAGAATCCCCTGGAAAACTGGGGATGGAGACATTTCGACAATTTCAGGGACTCCTTCTGAGCAATAACAATGGCTACACAGCTTGTCTGCCATGGGAGAGAAGCACAAGGGTCATGCATGCCATGCGGCATAAACTGTTTACTGTGGAATATGAAACTGTCAAGCATGTAACATCGCTGGTGACTGTCAGGACTGTGCTTGAATTTGTAAGGCCAAGGGTTTAGTCATTTGAATATAGACAGATTGAGAGTGTTTGCTGAATCCCATTACAAATAGATCTGAGCCCTGGCCGGTTTGGCTCAGCGGTTAGAGCGTCCACCTGCGGTCTGGAGAGACCCGGGTTCGGTTCCCGCTAAGGGCATGTACCTCGGTTGCAGTTTGTCCCCGGCCCTGGTTGGCTGTGCGGGTGGCGGCCACTCGATGTGTCCCTTTCACATCGATGTTTCCCTCTCTCTCTCTCTTCCTATCTCTCCCTCCCACTCTATCTGTACAAAAAATGGAAAAACGTCCTCGGGTGAGGATAAAAAAAAAAAAAATAGATCTGAAATCTAAGAGAAATACATGGGAAAGAAGGGACTTCAAGAGTTTGTATATCACCTTTGGGATTTGTATACAACAACCTTTAACAGCAGACAGAGTGATGTGGTAATTGATTGCTGATACTGTTGAGTTTATGTAGGGGGCATGGGAAAACATGTTACTATTTAGCATCCCAAATATACCCAATATACTGATTTGAAATATATGATCTGCAATAACTGTGTGGAGACCAAAACAATGTACTTTATGTGGAAGCAAAAAATAATTTTCTAACTGCCTAAGTATTTATGGGCTTAGAATAAAGACTTGCAATATTTTTTCTCCCATAATGCAGGTGATATTGCATTTACCAGCTTGACATATTTTTCAATGTACTACAATTTTAGCAAATAAAAAATATCCCATCAACTTTGTGGGAAATGAGGCACTATAATTTGTAATTTCTACTTTTATTAAAAGTATATCAATTACAAGGGAGGGAGTGTTGCAGCTGAGCAGAAGTAACATAATGGCGAAAATGTGGAGTTTGATGCAATGGACAGAAAATTGTAGCAAATTGTGGAACTTTATCAATGGTAACTGATCTGTTGTTTGCATGCCTGCAAACTGATTACAAACAAAAATGCTATGATCTCTCCTGAGAGAAAACTGCTGTGTTTGACTAGGTTCACGTACAGTTTGTATCTGAAATTTGTGCCAGGCTCATTGAATAACATCACAAGAATGAGAGAGTTAAACTCATTCTTCTAAAACAAAGAACAAACAAACAGCAGAAAGAATCTCAGAGAAAAGATGCAAATGGACAAATTACAGTGGCTTCCAGACAGCTATTCTTAGGAAAATACTGTGCATTTTAAAGCTTTTCAATAATAATTCTGATTTATATTAAGCAAGACAATGCAGAGATAAGAAGTTTCGCACTCTGGACATATATTGCCTGGGTTCAAATTTTTTGTCTCCTCCATTAACTGGAATTGTGTCCTTGACAAATTAACCTATCTGTGCTTCAACTTCCTCATCTATGAAGCTATCTCTAGTATAATACTCATGGTGTTGTTGTGAGGATTCAATGGATTAATGCTTAGCATAAGTCTGGCACATATAAAGTACTGCATACATGTTATTTACTATATGTAATATTAATGCAATATACCCTAAACTCTGTTACATGTCATGGGAATTGAAGTAGTGTCCTAATTTTTTAAATGCACATATTTGATTTTATGTGTCTGCCCTTCTGAATGAACCTAATAAGAGGAAATTCTGTGTTTGCTATTAAAGGATCACAAGCAAACTCATTTCACTAGTGTGGAATATTGTACCTTTGTACACCTGGAACAAAAAGCAAAGTGGGCTTCCAAGGCTTTGACAGTGCAAATAAGTAAAATACCATTCAGATACAAGTGAGAACTATTACATTATTTTGGGCCTGGCCGGTTTGGCTCAGTGGATTGAGTATTGTCCCATGGACTGAGAGGTCCTGGTTTGATTCCTGATCAGGGCACACGCCCGGGTTGTGGGCTCGATCCCCAGTAGGGGGCGTGCAGGAGGCGGCGGGTCGATGTTCTCTCTCACATCAATGTTTCTATCTCTCTCTAAAAAATCAATTAAAATATATTTAAAAATATTTTGAATGCTGGAAAAAATTACAATAGCTCTATGCCCTTAGAGTCACTTCATTATATGTATGTATATTTTTATATGTTGTTCGCAGTCCCAAACATTATACTCAGAACAATAAAAAAGCAGATGGTTAAGTCTCACCGTGTTAGTAATTAACCAGCATTAAAATGGATAATTTCTCCACTTCAGGATGCCAAAAGCCTGAAGAAATTATGAAATAATATTTAAGTTATATAGTTTGGGCAAGTATCATCAAATTGTCATTATTAAAAAACACAATGTGGTTTTTTTGGATTGTAAAGTAAAGTATTTCTAGGAATCTCACTGTATGACACCTATGAATTAAATATAAATAATAGTGATGTGAACATTTATGCCCTGGAAACAAGAAAATAAACGTTTTTGCTTTAATGATGTACAAATTCTTCTGTAGTTCCAAAATAAGATTAATGGTATCAGATCGATTCATTGTGTAATATGTTTTTTCAGGATGTAAGATGTAGATTTTCAAACTTTAGCAAAGAAAAATATTTGTTTAAAAATTGGAAGAGATGTCCTGGCCAGTGTGTCTCAGTTAGTTGAGTGTTGTCCCATGCACCAAAAGGTCCCCAGTCTGATTCCTGGTCAGGGTACATTCCTGGGGTTGTGGGCTCAATCCCCACTGTGGGGTATGCAGGAAGCAGCCGATTGATGTCTCTCTCTCTCTCTCTCTCTAAAATTAATGAAAACATAATAATTTTTGTCTTTTCCTCTTATACAATGAGCCCTTTGGATGAATTTTCCCCCAAATTAAAAAAAAAAATTTTTAACATAATATATTAACACTTAAAAGAATCCTTAATGCTCCAAATTAAACTCTATAATCAAAGAAATCTAATTCACTGCTACATTTTTATGGTCATGAAATACGAATAGTTTGCACCTGGAGAGAATAAAAGCCTACCAACTCAAAATGAGACAAAGTTTTTTTTAGAAAAATTTATCTATATTTATTTAAATTCTACTGCAAAATGAATATTTTCATGGAGTCATCGTTAGCAAAACAGATTAATAGAGACTGGTAATTAACTTTTCACGAATAAAAATTAGCATATAATTTATGAGCATTTTGTATTAATCAACTAATACCTAGCAAGGTAGCCATTCAGTATTTCTCGCTTAGTGAAATATGGCAGCCATAAAACTAACTAAAGAAGACACCAAAATGTTTATAGATGATTGACTGAGGAAGATGGATTTTAATTATTATCATTTTAGTTTCTTCATTCAAGTCTTCAAATTATTATTTGCACATTTATGTAGTACACCAAATTAATATTCAGACCTATTTAATTTAATGTTGTATTTCATTATTTGGTGTTTTTTAAATTTTTTTTCTTTTTTGATTTTAAAAAGAGGGAGAGGGAGAGAGAGATAGAAACATCGATGAGAGAGAACATCGATTGGCCGCCTCCTGCATGCCCCCCACTGGGGATCAGGCCCACAACCTGGGCATGTGCCCTGACCGGGAATTGAACCGGAGACCTCTTGGTGCATGGGTTGATGCTCAACCACTGAGCCACATCGGCTGGACGAGATTAGAAATTTTAATATGCTTTTTTTACTTGGTAATAATATTCTGAGTCCAAATCTTTCCCACTGTACAAAGACAAGAGAATACAGTCATAATGGGTAACAATAGGAAAAGTGGGAATTCGAACTTTGCTGCTTTCCTCTTCCTCCTCCTCTTAGTTTGATTTGGATGGCTACAACTGGGCTGGTGAAGCTAAATTCCTTAAAAACTGAAAGCACTACAATCACACAAATTTGTTTTCTTTTCTTTCTTTCTTTTTTTTTTTTTTTTTTTTGTGGTACGTGCCCCTAATGGGAACTGAACCTGGGACTCTCTGGTTCACAGGTCGACGCTCAACCGCTGAGCCAAACTGGCCAGGTCGCAAATTTGTTTTCTTGGAGTAAACATATTCTGGCAAACGTCTCATGATGCCAAGAAATGTGGAAATAAGGGGAACTCAATCAATCTTCTACGTAGGTAATGTACATTGAATATTTGGAAATATTCTTATATTTAATTGGAATTTAAAGCTCTGCCTATTTAATTTTTATGTTATGTACGTACACCTTTTTTGGTCCACCTTTTTTGTTTGTTTGTTTGTTAATCTTCACCAGAGGATATTTTTCCATTGACTTTTTAGAGAGAGTGGAAGGGAGTGGAGGGGAGAGAGAGAGAAACATCGATGTGAGAAAGACACATCAATTTTTTGCTTCCCACACAACCCCGATGGGGGCCAGGGATCAAAGTTGCAACCCAGGTACACGCCTTTGACTGGAATCAAATGGGAGATTCTTCGGTAGGCAGGCCAACACTCTAACCGCTGAGCCAATTGGCCAGGGCTGGTCTTACCTTCTCTTTCAACTTTGCTGTAAACTGTATTCTCCAGAAAAGTGCCATTTCAACTCTGAAAAATTAGGCAACTTTCCTGTACTGAGGTATTTAATTAAAAAAAAAAAAAAAGTAGAAAGTTTAAGATTTGAACACATAAAAAAATGCAAACATTTTGCCCTCATATCAAAGTAATCTAAACATTTCTCATGTGCAAGTGTGGAAACAAGAAAGGTCAGTACAGTAATACAGTTCTTATTTATTTTGTTCCTCTTTTTACATCTACTTGGCTTAAATCCATGGAGAGCAATGTTTAAAATTCATAATAAAATGAAGATTCATCCAATCTTTCAAGTTCTGAAAAATATTTCAATTGCGATGAAGCTATGAGCAAAAAGAGGCTGATTTATTTCCACAATAAATTCTCTGGGATAAGGTTCTTAAAAGAAGAGTTAAGTCGCTGTACCGACACTGAAGTATAAATATATTGGAACATTCACACTTGAGTTGTAACTTTCATTTTTAACAGGTTTTTCTCTTTAGTTGGAACTATTGTTTATATCCATATATAAATGTGAGAAAATAGCTGCCATTAGCTGTCATTAAACAATAATATGGAGAAAAGTTCTGTTTCACTCCATGTTTACCCAGCATCAGAGGACTCACAAGATGTTCTGTAGAATTGCTGGTAAACCTTTTTCTTATGTGTAGAGGGAATCCCTCATCATATAGTTATTTGAAATATTTGGCATTACAAATATAAGTGCTGCATGAAATACCAAAATTGCTTGGAGATATAAATTGTTGAAAGTGCTGATATAAATCCCAAGACAGAAATCTTGACACTAGACTCATCTGGCCTAGTGTCCATCATAAAACAGGTTTAAGTATGATATTATCCTGGATTTATTCAATTGCTCTTCAATTAGACTTGCAAATAATCAATTTGGAAACTGCTTTTTGTGTTGTGTTTATGCCTGTGTTATTTCTGTTCTTGTTATCAAGGTTGGTTGATTCTGAATAGCCCTGTAGTAGGGGGACAAAATGAGGATTGAATCCAATCAGCTATGCTCCGAATCAATACCTGAACACAAGTTGACTTTTTCCTCACACTACACATTTCACATGGAAAAGACTCGGTTACACACTGTCACTCAGCGACTCAGGCTGAAGAAACCTCTGTTGTGCTTTCACTGAACCAGTTGAAACACCTGGACTTAAACCGAGAGATTCTGCATATAGTTTAGGAACACCACCAACAAAACACTGAACAATCCAATTGAAAAAACACGCAGAGAAACTAAATAGAGATTTTTACAAAGAAGATATCCAAATGGCCAACAGGTACGCAAAAGGATGCTCAACATCACTGATCAGCAGGGAAATGCACATCAAAACCAGAATGAGATATTGTTTCACACTTGTTAGAATGGTGATCATCAAGAAGACAAGAGGTAAGTGCTGGCCAGGATGTAGAGAAAAGGCAACCTTTGTGCACTCTTGATGGGAATGTAAATTGGTTCAGCCACTATAGAAAACAGAATGGAGGTTCCTGAAAGAAATGAAAGACAAAAATCAATTGCAATTCTGGGTTTATATTCAAAAGAAATGAAAACAGGATATCAAAGGAGTATATGCACTCCCATATTTATTGTGACATTATCACAATAGCAAAGTTATGGAAACAACTAACTGTCCATCAGTGGATAAATGGATAAAGAAGAGATGTATCTATGTACAATAAAACATTATTCATCCATGGGGAAGAAGGAAATTCTGCCTGGTAAGATGATATGGATGAATCTTGAACATTATGCTAAGTGAGAAGTCAGGCATATTATGTATGATAGCATTTACATGTAGAATCTAAAACAAGCAGAATACATGAAAACAGAGAGTAGAATGGTGGTTACCAGGAGCTGAGGGTTGGGGGAATAGGAGAGATATTGTTTAATGTACAAATTTGCAAGTAGTAGATAAATAAGTCCTGGAGTTATAGACAATGCTGTACTGTAAACATCAAACTTGCTAAAAGACTTCATCTTAATTATTCCCACCACAATAAAGAAATGAATAAGTATGTGACATGAAAGAGGTGTTAGCTAATTTTATAATGAATGGCAATAATATGGCAATATATAAAAGTACCAAATTAACATTATACATCTTAAACTTATACAAAGTTGCATATCAATTATCTTTTTTTAATTTTTTATTTTTTTATTGATTTTTAGAAAGAGAGGAAGGGAGAGGGAGAAAGGGATAGAAACATAGATGAGAGGGAACATCAATTGGCCGCCTCCTGCATGCCCCCCACTGGGGATCGGGCCCACAACCTGGGCATGTGTCCTGACCGGGAATCGAACTGGCGACTTCTTGGTGCAAGGGTCGACGCTCAACCACTGAGCCACACCAGGCGGCCCAACTGTCATTTTTTTTAAAAGAAAAATTGATCTTCCATTTGACCCAGTGATCCCACTTCTAGGAATATACCCTAAGAAGTATAAAACACCAATAAGAAAGAATATATGTACCCCCATCTTTGTAGCAGCACTATTTACAATCGCTAAGATCTGGAAACAGCCCAAGTGCCCATCAGTAGACGAATGGATCAAAAAGCTGTGGTACATATACACAATGGAGTACTACGCAGCTGTGAGAAAGAAAGATCTCTTATCCTTTGAGACTACATGGAGGGACCTTGAAAGTATCATCCTAAGTGAAACAAGCCAAACAGAGAAAGACAAATTTCATATGATCTCACTTATTTGTGGAATATAATGAACATAACAGTTTGAGGAATGGGGTAGTCCCAGAGACGCGGAAGCGGGGTACAGACTGACAATCCCCTAAGGAGTGGGGAGGTGGGAGAGGGATGAACCACAGAACTTATACGCATGTATGCATGATCAGTGGACATGGACAACAATCTGGGGAAGGGGCAGGGAGGGGAGGGGGAGGGGGGAATCAGTGGGGGGAAAAAGGAGAATCATTTGTAACAAAAATTAATCAATAAAAAAATAAATTAAAAAAAGAAAAAGAAAAATAGTAGCGAGATTCTGAAGGATGGCATGAAGCACTTTCACTGTCTCAGCCTAGAAATGAAACACAATGCTCCTCTTCATGGTTCTTTGACTAGAGCTTGTCATATAACCTAGCCCTAACCTCATAAAACCACAAAACGTCTGGGACATGCAGGCTTCCTTCTGTCTGGGAGAAAGAGAACCACATATCTGTGAGCACCAATAGCATCTATTTTATATGTGCTTTCATTTCTGCCTCATATTTTAGAAAACTTTAGAGAATAGATTCACATATAAATTATTTTTCAGCCCTGGCTGGTTTGGGTCAGCGGTTAGAGCCTGGGCCCGCGGACCAGAGAGTCCCGGTTGGGTTCCTGATAAGGGCACGTACCTCGATTGCAGTTTGTCCCTGGCCAGGTTGGGGTCGTGTGGGTGGCAGCCACTCGATCTGTGTCTCTCACATTGATGTCTCTCTCTCTCTCTCTTCCTCCCTTTCTCCTTCCCGCTCTATCTGAAGATAAATGCAAAAATGTCCTAGGGTGAGGATTAAATAAATGAAAGAAAGAAACAAAGAAAGAAAGAAAGAAAGAAAGAAAGAAAGAAAGAAAGAAAGAAAGAAAAGAAAGAAAGAAAGAAAGAAAGAAAGAAAGAAAGAAAGAAAGAAAGAAAGAAAGAAAGAAAGAAAGAAAGAAAGAAAGAAAGAAAAGTTATTTTCCAGGTCTTGACTAAAATGTGAGTGGATATGTAGTTAGTGGAAGAGGGGAGTGGAAGTGGACTAGTGTCAGACTAAATATCGAATTCAAGACTGGCCAGTGTGGCTCAGTGGTTGAGCATCAACTCATGCACCAAGAGGTTACCAGTTTGATTTCAGGGCACATGCCCAGGTCGTGGGCCCAGTCCCCAGTGAAGTGTATGCAGGAGGCGGCCAATTGATGTTCTCTCTCATTGATGTTTCTCTCTCTCTCTCCCTCTCCATTTCTCTCTCTCTAAAATCAATAAAGAAAAAAATATTTTTAAAAAATATCATATTCAAATAATCTTTAAAAATAATATAATTTATATATTTATTATTAGAACAAAAGTATGACTTAGAATTTAGGGAGCAGAATTTTTAAGCTAACTTGAATTGAGTTTTGTTACTTTTAACAAAAAAAAAATTCTAATTTGTTTACCACATAGTTTTTGGATGCAAATAATTTTGTTCAAGTTGTTTATAATATAGGATTATATCTAAGAGATCGTGAAAAAGTATAATAGCTTCCATTTTAAAGCAATCTCTGTGTTTTAGTGACTGTACTAGATGCTTTATATATTATTTTATCTCATTTAAATTTTTGTCATGTTTATAAGGTAAGTAATTAGTTCCATTTTGCAATTGGGAATACAAAGTACCAGACAGTAAAATTACTTAATGGTCATATCCCGCGTGAGTGTTGGAGCCCAGATTTTAAACTAGGGTTAGTCTGATTCTAAAAATTTTAATGGTCATACACTTAAATATTATACTAGATTTCTTAAAATATATATTAAAATGTTCCAAAAAGTTTATTGGTCTTAGGAAATCTTATTTTTCAGCTTTTTCAGGGAACAGAGTTTTCTTATATATGATTAAAATCATACTAAGGATGACCTTTAATCACACGTTAAGCAATGAAAGTCAAATAACCTATAATTTATTTTTTTTATTTAAAATTTTTTTTTCTTTATTTATTTTAGAGAGAGGAAAGGTAAAGGGATAGAGAGAAACATCTGTGAGAGAGAACATTGACTGGCCACCTCCTACATGTCCCCACTAGGAATTGGGCCCACAACCTGGGCATGTGCCCTGACCAGGAATTGAACCTGCGACTTTTGGTGCACGGGTCAACGCTCAACCACTAAGCCACACTGGCCGGGCAAATAACCTATAATGTAAGACTAACCATATAGAATGAAGTTCACACACTTTGATTGCTATTGTTGGGACAGAAGTAAACAAACAAAACATATTCTTATATTATGCTATTTGCACTGCTCATTTGAATTATTTGCACAACCGTTACTGTTATATGATGTCACTTTTCTGAGATGTTTCTGAAGTAAACGTATCTGTGATTCATATCTTAATTTTCATTTCATGTTCACTAGATAAAACTACCTGAATTATTACATTAATGTAAATTTAAACTTTTTATTTCATCCATTTAAATTTGCATTCTTCTCTCATTAAGTGACACTGATTTATATATGACTATATAATTATTGATTTAAAAAAAATACCTTACAGTAAGATATATCTCAGTCTCGGTATGGAAAACTGGAATTATCACCATGTCTATTTCTGGGGTTTCTGGGTAAATGTTAGACAAAAGCAGTTCGAATTGGTAGCTACTTTTCATCAGGTGCTTTGATGAATGGTTAAACAGTCTTAAAAATCAAAGCCAGACCTTCCACTGGCCTGGCTTGGTGTTTGAAATGCCCTGGATACTTGCCTATTTTAAGGTATTTTCTAAAGACTCTTAAGTTTATTATGTGATTGCTTTATATGAGTTATCTGTATTATTTATTTAACATCAACAGAAATGTGTTTTTCTAGAACCATTTTTGTTCACTGGTTACCAGAAAAGAGCTGAGGATCTTATGAAAAGTAGAGACAGGATGGAAGAATTTTAATGCATACAAAGAAAGAGAAAGTAATATAACCTTAGGCCAAGTTAGTATAATAGTACAGGCCATGACCCTAAGCCTTCCAAAATAAAAAGAATAAAGGCACTGATGGAGAAAGGAAGGCAATAAATAAAGAAAGAATAAGAACACAAATGTAGTATGAAATTGCAGTAGATCACTAGAGAGGTAATTATAACAGAGAGCCCTGAACTCAAGCCATAAACTTTATTTTCCTCTTTTCCTCTAATATAACATTTAATTAAAACCTAAGTGTAATAGTCATTATATTATTAAACAATGCACAATACATTAAGAACAGGATAAGAAAGTTAATCTGGAAACCACTGAGCTATTTATTTAATGGGTTCACCTTTCAAGCAGTTGCCCTAAACTCCAGTGATAACCTTTAGAAATTGCATGTGTTTGGAAACTGATATATGTGAGCAAAAATGAATAGAGTTATATTCAATTTATAGGTAAAGTGGAAAATGAAATGCCCACTCTGACAGTTTATGTATAATATTGTCTCAAAAAAGAGGCACAGTAATTAAACCGAAAGTAAAATAACAAGATTCTTTTCCATGTGTGCAGTTGAATTTCACTTCTCTGAGCTTCAGTTTCCTCATCAATAAAATGAGGATGTTATACAACTATTTGAAAAATACTTTTGGAAACATCTTTAGTTGTGAAATCAATTCTGGTGGTTATAAGCAGGATTTATTAATGATATAGAGTACAAAAGAAAATATCAAAGTTCATTGAACATAATAAGGATTAATATTGTTTCATTAATAATTTGATTAGTTATGATTCTGTGTGTGTGTGTGTGTGTGTGTGTGTGTGTTTACTGGGTAAAAAAAGTAGAAGTTGTTTCATGCTATTGGTCATAGCCAGGCATACCTGTAATCCACGGGACTATATTATTCCTTAAATCTTCCCCATATCTAAAATATTATGCTCTACATTTATTTAGATTTATGACATAATGAATTATTCATATTAATTATTTTTAAACTTTATTTAATGGGATGCATAAATGCTGAAAAAATAGCTGTTTTGTAATACATCTGTAAAAGTTTGTTGACATAAAACTTCCAAATGTTATTACTCCATATAATTCCTCAAAATTAATTTGTCTGGGATGTGTACAGGAAAATAAAACTCTGCTGAGATTTAGATGTCTTATCATCTAGATAAACATTCTAAGCAAATTGTTTGTTTCTATATATTAACTTAGTAGTAATCATAACTCAAAATCCAACAATAAATTTCTTTTTATCGCATGTACTAATTTGTAAATATTTCAAATAAAACTTCAATAAAACTGTATGCATTGTTACATATAATTTGAAGTTACAAAAAGTCAAACCAGGATTAAATTTTCATATGCCTAAAGCCAACATAATAAAGGCCATGTATGAAATCCTACAGCCAATATCATACTCAAAGGGCAAAAACTAAAAGCATTTCCCTTAAGAACACTTTTGCCACTCTTATTCAACATGGTACTGTAAGTCTTAGCCACAGAAATTGGACAAGAAGGAAAAATATAAGGCATCCAAATTAGAAAAGAGGAAGTGGAACTGTTATTATTTGCATCATCAGAGAGATGCAAATTAAAACAACTGTGAGATATCACCTCACACCTGTCAGAATGGCTGCCATCAACAAATCATCAAACAACAAGTGCTGGTGAGGGTGTGGAGAAAAGGGGACTCTAGTACACTGCTGGTGGGAATGCAGACTGGTGCAGCCACTGTGGAAAACAGTATGGTGTTTCCTCAAGAAATTATAAATGGAACTGCCATTTGACCCAGTGATCCCACTTCTAGGAATATACCCTAAGAAACCTAAAACACCAATCAGAAAGAATATATGTACCCCTATGTTCATAGCAGCATTATTTACAATTGCTAAGATCTGGAAACAGCCCAAGTGTCCATCAGTAGATGAGTGGATAAAACAGCTGTGGTGCCCGCCGGTGTGGCTCAGTGGTTGAGCATTGACCCATGCACCAAGAGGTCGCCGGTTTGATTCCTGGTCAGGGCACATGCCCAGGTTGTGGGCCCAATCCCCAGTGGGGGACATGCAGGAGGATGCTAATCAATGAGCTCTCTCATCAATGTTTCTATCTCTCTCTCCCTCTCCCTTCTTCTATCTCTAAAAAAATCAATAAAGAAAAAAAAATTTTAAAGCTGTGATATATTTACACAATGGAATACTATGCAGAAGAAAGAAAGAAAGAAAGAAAGAAAGAAAGAAAGAAAGAAAGAAAGAAAGAAAGAAAGAAAGAAAGAAAGAAAGAAAGAAAGAAAGGAAGAAAGGAAGAAAGGAAGAAAGGAAGAAAGGAAGAAAGAAGAAAGGAAGAAAGGAAGAAAGGAAGAAAGGAAGAAAGGAAGAAAGGAAGAAAGGAGGGAGGGAGGGAGGGAGGGAGGGAGGGAGGGAGGGAGGAAGGAAGGAAGGAAGGAAGGAAGGAAGGAAGGAAGGAAGGAAGGAAGGAAGATCTCTTATCCTTTGAGACAGCATGGAGGGACCTGGGGAGCATAATGCTGAGCAAAATAAGCCAGTCAGAGAAAGACAAATACCACATGATTTCACTTATTTATAGAACATAATAAACAAAATACGCTGTTGACGAAAAGAGACCCAGAGTCATGGAAGTAGGGAACAGACTGACAAACCTCAGAGGGACAGCGGTGGGGGTGGGAAGAGATAAACCAAAGAACTTGCACGCATGTATGCACAACCAATGGACACAGACATTAATTTGGGGAAAGCAGGAGCAGAGTGGGAGCATGGAGGAGGGGGTCAATGGATGAAAAAGGGGAGACATCTGTCATACTTTCAACAATAAAAAATAAATTAAAAAAAAGAAAAGGATATGATGAAATTTAAATAAATTTACGCTTTATTATAAAACTCTTAATAAAAAGAAATAGAAAGGAAAAAAATGTTTACCAAACAAAATCTATTTTAATACAATAAAAATGTTCACATTAGATTATAAAACCCAGAATCAGTTAAATGAGGGCACTCCAATTTTGTACACTGTAAGCCTTTGGTATAGTCAGTTATCCTCTGTATAGATGCTTATTAAGCAATTCAAGGAATCTATAGGGTTTTTTTTAATGTTTATTTTTTTACTTTTTAATTTTTATTAAATAATTTTTGTTATAGATGTTTCTCCTTTTTCCTCCACTGATTCCCCTCCACCTCCCTCCCTGCCCTGTCCCCAGCTTTGTTGTCCATGTCCATTGTTCAGGCATACATGCATATAAGTTCTGTAGTTTATCCCTCCCCCACCACCCCCTCTTCTGGGGATTGTCAGCATGTACCCCACTTCCACGTCTCTGGGATTACCCCATTCCTCAGACTGTTATGTTCATTATATTCCACAAATAAGTGAGATCATACGATACTTGTCTTTTTCTGTTTGGCTTGTTTCACTTAGTATGATACTTTCCAGGTCCCTCCATGTAGTTTCAAAGGATAAGAGATCTTTCTTTCTCACAGCTGCATAGTACTCCATTGTGTATATGTACCACAGCTTTCTGGCAGTCTGCTTTGGCCATTGCCTGGCACAATAATAGTAAGTTGGCAGAAGCTACAGGGGAGAGAGGCTAGAGAGAAGTTTAGTTGCTTTGGGGGGATATATATATATATATATATATATATATATATATATATTTAGCACGAGCAATAGTATCTCTTGGCAATATGTCTAGGAGCTATGACTTGAGGGATAGAGGGAAATGTACAACATATATAAAATATTCAAACTAAATCAAAAGAAACACAACTTTGTAACTGCATAATCTCTGTCACTAGCACAGGGTCTAGACCTATGTGTAAAAAACGTTTATGTTGATTTCAAACAAGCCACGCCACTCAAAGTAGGAAAATGTAAAAGTTCAGAAAAGAAGGGATTGCTGGGGGAGTTCAACAGAACATACGTAAGACTGTAACAAGCTGATGTTTAGCTTGATTATAAGATACAGAAAAGGAAGGCGAGGAGTAGGAGGTTATAAGGTATCAAAACTGTAGACAAAAAGGTGATGAAAACTCCGTGGAGATTCAAAGGAAGAAAGTAAACTGACAATGAGTTGAGGAATGTATTATGGGTAAAACGTGCTATCATGGGAGACTACTACACATTTGTAAATTCTTTTCTGAATGAAAAATACAAAATGACTATGGAAATATCTATATTTGAAAAATAACAGAACAAAAAAGTTTCTTAAAGGATTCTTCAATTTAAAAAGGGGATTCAAGTGATTTCTCTAGTGTGTAGAATGAGTGAGGTAACCTATACATAAAGAATGCGTTTTACTGCTTGTAATATCATAATCACCCACTAATATCAAATGACATTTTATTTTTATAATTATAAAAATTTATCTTTTGCTTCTTGCTTTTTCAGCTTTAATAAGATAAAATTGACATACAATTTTTGTAAGTCTAAATGATATAATGTGATGATTGGATATATTTATGTATTTCAAAATGATTACCACAATGAGGATGGCTAATACTTCCATCACTTCACATAATTAACTTTTTTTTTTTTTTTTTTGGTGGTGAAAACTTTTTAAAAACACTCTTTGCCCAGCTGGTTTGGCTCAGTGGTTGAGCGTCGACCCATGCACCAAGAGGTTGCAGGTTCGATTCCCGGTCATGGCACATGCCCAGGTTATGGGCCTGATCCCCAATGGGGGACATGCAGGAGGCAGCCAATTGATGTTTTCTCTCATCAATGTTTCTATTTCTCTCTCCCTCTCCCTTCTCTCTCTCTAAAATCAATAAAGGAAAAAAAATTAAAAAAAAGATCCACTCTTTTATCAACTATGATTAACAATAATACTGTATTGTTAACTATAATCACCATGCTGTATATTATATCTGCAGAACTTATTCATCTCATAACTGGAAATTGTACACTTTAACCAACCTCTCCCCATTTTCCCCACCTTCAACCCCTGCCAATCACCATTTTACAATATGTTTCTATGAGTTTGGCTTCTTTAGAGTCTACACATGTTAGATCATAGAGTACTCTGACTTATTTCACATAACATGATGACTTTCAAGGTCAATCCATGTTGTTGCAAATGGGAGTATTTCCTTCTTCTTATGGCTGATTTTATATATATAGTTTGTTTTCTTTATCTATTTTGATAGACACCTACCATGGGATTGCAGATTCTCTTTAAGATAGTGGTTAATTTTATTCAGATATATCCTGTTAAAGAAAAAAAAAATTCAATAACATTTGTTAAGGACCATTACAATAAATATAGGGCCCACTGCAATGGGATTTTACAGTGGAGGAAATATTTGGATTAAACTCCAAACACAACAAGGGCAAATAGGAATTTATAACCAAGGAGCAGGTTGGGGGTCAGGGCATGGAAAATGACTAAGAGGAAACGTGAGGGGTAAGGGGAAATTCTGGCTATGCCGACATAACCAGACTCTTGCTGGAGACAGGCTAGGTCGATCAGACATTACCTGGGGAATGGTGGAAGATGAGGAAGCTGATCAGATATTGAGGGTGATCAGATATTAAGGGTGGGGTTCTGGTTGAACTGATTTAGCAGAGTTCTTGCTAAAACTGTATTTTGAAAGGAAGTGCACAGATAGGCCTGAAAGAAGGTTCGGGGATCCCGAACCAAATTTGGTCAAGCCAAGAATCCTTATCAATAGCCAGAAGCAGGATTGCTGGATCATAGGGTAGTTCCATTTTTAATTATTTAAGTAACCTCCAGGCTATATCAAATATAAAGCTCTGCACAGCAAAAGAAAAAAATATCAATAAAGTGAGAAGGTAACCTATGGAATGACAGAACGTATTTGCAAATGATGTATCTGATAAAAGGTTGATATCCAAAATATATAAGGGACTCATACGAGTTAACAGCACAAAAAGACAAGTACTCTGATTTAAAAATGGGCAAATAAAATGAATACCCATTTTTCAAAGAAGACATACAAATGGCCAACAGGTACATGAAAAAAATGCTCAGCATCACTAATCATCACGGAAATAAAATCAAATCCACAATGAGATGTCACTTCACATCTGTTAGAATGATTATCATTAAAATTTAAAAAGATAAGAAGTATTGGTGATGCTGTGGGAGAAAAGGAACCCTTGAGCACTGTTATTGGGAATGTAAATTAGGACAGTCATTTTTGAAAACATTATGGAGGTTCCTGAGATACTATTTTAAGTCACATACACCTCAACGTTTGGTCATACTGGGACTAAGTGGGTCCCATTCCAGACTAAATTTAGAGATAGAGGGAAAAAATAAAATATAGTAGAAAGTTTGCCAAACTGAAAATTTAGAATAGCTGTAGAGAGATTACATTTATTTCTAACATTGTTTTCTATGACTATTCAAACTGATTTTACATTATGACTATAATTTATTTATTACATATTTGTTATTTTTATTGCAAATTTTCCTTTTGTTTTACCATCTTCTAAATAAAAAGTCAACCTAGGAAAATAGAGGAACAAGTTAACTAAAAAATCACAGGCCAAAAAAAAAAAGGTATTAGAAGCATATTCATTAAAGTCAGGGGTGCTATAAGAGCGCACAATTATTGCATTTTAATTCTGGAAGTCCTAAAAATGCAGTTAAGAAGAAAAATAAATCATGCATGAACATTTAAAATGAACAAAAATAATTGTATTTATTTGTAGATAATAAAATTGCATTCCTGCAAAGCCAAAAAGAATTAACTGAAAAATGTTAGGAAATAATAAGACCATTCAGTAGGATGGTTGTTTACAAAATTAATATATAAATTAATTAGCTTTCTAAACATAAGTGCCATTTAATAAATGTAAGAGACTTTCTCATTTCAAGTAAAACAAAGAACATGAAACTTAATGGTAAAGTATACCAACAATCCCACCCACTGTGACAAATCAGGAACTATAAAAATGTCTGCTTTTATAATTTCTATTTGGTATTTCAGTGTTGGTCCTAGTCATTATTGAGAGAAAGAAGACCTAAATAAATTGAAATATACACTATGTTATGGAAAAGAAAAAGAAAAATTGATACAATTTACCAATGTAATTGATATAATGAAGGTATAGATTCAATACATTTCCACTCACAATTCCAGAAGGCAGTTTAGAGAAACCGACGAGCTGAGTCTAAAAATATATATGGAAACAAAAATGACCTAGAGTAACTAAAAACCTACTGAAAAAAAATATTAGGATAACTTGCACTAACAGATGTAATGGCAAATAGAAATTAAAAATATGAAGTTTAATTCTTTCTGTTAAAAATAAGAGAAAACATTTTTCCTTCTTCTTCAGAGCAGTGGTCACTGGTCACTCAGAGTCACGGAAGCCTCTGCATCCAGGGGGTCCATGTCTTGTTAGAAAGACTGCTCAACAAACTGGATACACTAAGACCCTGGAATAATCAACGGCCACCAAGCCAGATACATGAGCTGTCAGCATGGCTCTTTGCAGGCAGGTGAATAGCAAGTGTCACTGTTCTTAATTTCACTTTTATCATTCTTGTGAAGGTGTCTCCCCTCATCTGCACTTGTTAGATTTGCTTGTGGTCTCCAAGATTAGCCCTCGAAGCCCCAAATCAAAATATTTGGCAACGTGTGCAGCGGTGCCTATTTCATTCTTATCACTTGCACCTGTTGGTTGCCTCCCTTGGCTGGCAGCCCAGAACTTGGCTGTGGGCCCAGACTTATATGTGTTCAGATGATAAGGTTCAAACTCAAGATGGAGTTAGTTATCCTAACTCTGCTCTGCGCAAGTAGAAGTAAGCCAAGAGAACTTTAGATCAACTGTCACTTTCTCCACCAAGCACTCAGCTCCCAGACTGGGGATGTCTCTCAGAAAGCTGCTTGACATTGTTCCTACCACTAGCTACAGAGTCCTGGATCAGAGATTTTACCTGGGTGAAAAAGCAAATCATACAACAGATAGTTCCTCTTCCTAAAAGGACTGACTTCACTTGCAATGAAGCTTGGAAAAGTTGAAGAAGCATAAGGGCATTCGCAAGAACAGTGAAGGTTGTGATGGAAGACCACTGGGAAAATATTAAGATACACTCTAAATTGTAGGTATGCTAACATGCAAGAGAGCACTTGGAAAAGAGTTGTGGGACAAACTCTTCTGGAGGCAGGCATATATCAAACACTAAACTCAGAAACTTTTTTAAAGGAGGCACAGTCTCAGTCAGTTTCTAGAGCAATTTATGCTCTAGGGCAGTGGTTCTCAACCTGTGGGTTGCAACCCCTTGGGGGTCAAACGACCCTTTCACAGGGGCTGCCTAAGACATAACAGTAGCAAAATTACAGTTATGAAGTAGCAATGAAAATAATTTTATAGTTGGGGGTCACCACAACATGAGGAACTGTATTAAACGGTGGTGGCATTAGGAAGGTTGAGAACCACTGCTCTAGGGCGTGGTGGAAAACAACTAAGCAATCAGCCCACACTTAGTGCAGTTTAACAGCTGGATGTGGTCAAGGAAAGAGCGGAATTGAGGTCTTTCAAAAACACTGTCACCCCAGGGTAAGTAACCACACAGGAACTTCATTTCTTTAATATGAACTTTTCCTTAATTCAAACTAGCTTTATCCAGTCTACTAGCACCATAACATACCATACATCCACTCACTTAATCATTTAGCCCCAGGGACATCAGGTTCTAGTTAGCTTCAAACAGTTTTAAGAATAAAGTCTCAGGTCTGTTGATCAAGGGAGAGAGTTTTGGTCAAACTGAAGGCAACATCTTGACCTCAGTTGTGTTTTAGCCCCAGGCCAATGAAAGTGAAATGACCCTACCGGCCACACTCTCACAAAATTAGAGATGCCATGGCTGACATCAGGACCTAATACAATTATCAACTACTTCCTACCCTAGGCCCCAACCAATCAATAGAGCCCACAACCCCAACTCCCTTAGCCACCATGATTAATGATTTGAGGAGGATCCAGGAGCCTGGTCTTAGAGTCTTGCTTACCTCATCTGTGTCTCAGAGCTAGGTAACATTTCCTTAAATAAACCTTTACATTTTTTCCTGAAAGCTCTTCTTTGCATTTTATTGGGCTTTGATGCATGCAGGCAAGTGGAACTCTTCAGTTTGGTAACAGGTATGTATACCCAAACCTGTGCCTCTCTGAGGATTAACATCAGAGGCTGAATACCATGGAGGGTGAACTTAGATATCATTAAAATAACTTAACCTGTCACTAAAGAAACAATCAAGCAAGGACCAGTTTCCTGAGTTACTAAAACATATTATCTTAAAGTCCAGTTTCCAACAAAAAATAATGAAATATGCAAAAACAGGTAAAGGAGCCCAGCTGGTATAGCTCACTGGTTGAGCATCAACCCATGCACCAAGAGGTCTCCAGTTTGATTCCTATTCAGGGCACATGCCCAGGTTGTGGGCTGATCCCCAGTGGGGGGGCGTGCAGGAGGTGGCCAATCGATGTTCTCTCTCATCGATGTTTCTATCTCTCTCCCCGTCTCTCTTTAAACCTCTCTCAATACAGAAAAAAATTTAAAAAAAAAAAAAAAAACAGAGGAAGGAGATCAGAATATACTACCCAAAATATGCCAGTTTGTCATAAGGATTATTTTGACCTAAAGACAATTAAGACACTGCCAACATAGCAGGAGTTCTCATAAAATTTTAAAAAGAAATTTACATGTGTAAAGATATCTTTCTCTTCCATACCAAGGAGAAGAGGAAAACTCCAGAGACATTTATCACTTGAGATGACTTGAGTCTACATAAGACACTTTATAAAACCCTTATTTATTGAACGGTTTCTAATCTTCTTTCCACAACATATCCCAACACCAGAAGCCCAAGTCCATTTGTCCTTATCTAGTCTCTTCTCTATACTTTATCACCCTTTGTTAATATGCTACATAAGGCCTTGGGTCTAAGCTCATCTTTTGGTTTTCACTTCTTTTCTGTAAGGCTTTCTGTGTGCATGCAAAAGATCCATTTTCTCTTATTGCAACTAAAAACACAAGTTTTGCCACAACAAAAGCCTAACTCATGAGACAGGTGCTAGTGCAAAAGGAAAGAGGTTTATTCAGGTGACAAGACCTGAGAGAATAGTGGACTCCTATGTCAAAGATAATCTCCCCTTCTTGCTCAATCCTGTGGTTCTTATAGGGATAGAGAGGAGAGGACTTTTTTTTTTTTTTTTTTGGATAGTGATATTAATGAAAACATTTTACTATTTTACTTATTTATTTATTTGTTTTTGTTACAGATGTTTCTCCTTTTTCCCCCAGTGACACCCTCCTCCCCATCACCCCACCCCTTCCCCAGCTTTGTTGTCTATGTCTATTGGATATGCATACATGCATAAAAATTCTGTGGTTATCTCTTCTCTCCCAACCCCCTCCTCTTCTGGGATTCATCAGTCTGTACCCTACCTCTATGTCTCTGGGTCAATTTTGATCATCAATTTGTTTAGCTCATTATATTACACAAATAAGTGAGATCATGTGATATTTGTTTTTCTCTACTTGGCTTGTTTTGCTTAGCATAATACTCTCCAGGTCCCTCCATGTCATCTCAAATGATAAGAGATCTTTCTTTCCTACAGCTGCATAGTACTCCATTGTGTATATGCACCACTGCTTTTTTATCCACTCATCTACATGAACACTTGGGTGGTTTCCAGATCTTAGCTATTGTAAATAGTGCTGCTATGAACATAGGGGTGTTTCAGGCTTCTTAGGATATATTCCTAGAAGTGGGATCATTGGGTCAAATGACAGTTCAATTTTTAACTTTTTGAGGAAGCATCATAGTGTTTTCCATAGTGGTTGCACCCGTCTGCATTCCCACCAGCAGTGTACTAGAGTCCCCTTTTCTCCACACCCTCGCCAACACTTGTTGTTTGATGATTTGTTGATGGCAGCCATTCTGATAGGTGGAGGACTTTTTTTTTCTATCCAATTATTTTGCTAGCTTTTGACAGGCTTGGGTCTTATCAATTCATCTTTCTAGCTTTTGGTGCTCAGTGTAAGAACAGCCCCCTGCACCATCTTGGCCAATGGGAGAGACTCCCCAGTGCTCCCTGACTGTCTACACTATCAGGGTCAGTTGGAGCAGGGCTGTAGGACACACCATCAGGAAGCCTGGAGATGCCATAGTTTTCAGCCTGTCTTCTGAGGCTGGACATGGCTTGCACATCCAGGGAAACCAGTTGGAGTCTGCCAGAGTACCCCTTGAACCCAGTGCACCCACATCCTCTGTGAAGAGTGGCCTACACCTCCAAATTGTCCAGCCAGGCCACACTAACCCCAACAGGTGCTCAGACTGACTGTCTAAGGTAACATTGTTAATTTGCCTTTTTTTTTTCAGTTACATTCATAGGCCCAGTTACTGAACCTAAGACTGTAGAGCAGGTAATTGAAATTGTCTATAAGGGTGAAAAAAAGTCAGATTTATCAGAAAAACATTCACAGAACTAATGGAAACCATGTTTATAAAAGCAAAGACGTTATAATGAGACTATTGAATCAAATAGACTATATGAAGATGAAATAATAAAAATAAAACTAAACAGACAGTCTTGAGTTGAAAATTACAGTAGCTAATATGAAAATATTAGGGTACTAGCAGAGACTTACCATCTGGGAGGTGCCCATCAATTGGTCCAGCATCAAGTGCACCTGGGCCTGCACCTGCTGCCATGTCCACATGGCAGGCAGGCAGACAGGCAGATGTGGGGCACAATCCAGGCCCTTTTGGTTGGGGGAGGGGGTGACAAGGGAAGGGCAGGTGGAAGGTAAGACACTGTCTTGATTGCTGTTACTGCTTCCTCCAGGCACGTGGAAAAGGAGGCAGAGGGTTTACAGCAGAGTCTGGGCTGTGCTCCTGATGCCAATGCACACATGGAAGGCAGCAGCCCCTGAAAATGTCCCTCGTTCCATCACTCTCTGTCTGAGTCCTAGGATAGAAGTGATAAGGGACAAGCAAGCTCTCACCTTCAACACCACCACCCTCCAGCAGCGGTCAGCTCCCCACTCCAAGCTCTGAAGCCATCCGCCACTGCCACCGCCATCACTTCACTGTGAATCGCATGCTGCTAATGCTCAATCATCTTTTGCGGGGGTTCCACCAAGTGACATCAAATTGTATTTGCTCTACTGGCCCCTACCAGGAGGAGTGCCACCCTAACAGCTCTCATGGGCATGCATGCAAGTCTTCCTGCTCCTTCCCCCCAGACCACCGGATCCACCTGAGACCAACCTTAACACTCTTGGCTGCAGGCCAGATAGGGACACACGGGCACCCTGTGCTGGAGAACCAGACCCAAATTACCAAATGTGCCAGAGGGTTAGCCTGACTCCAAAGTGAGCAGAGACCTTGGGGGTCAGTTTGATTGAGGTTATCACGCTTAATAGCTACTATGTGTGAATTCCTGGTGAATACTCACAGACCAATTAGCTCCTTTGCGGGGACCCACCCAGAATCATGCAGAGGTGGAACCTTTTTTCTGCCA